ATTCTTTCCGTTACCATAAAAGTTAATTCATTTATATTTAACATATCAGCTTTGGAATAAACATCTTTTAAAAGATCAAAATTTAAACCATCTTCAAGTTTTCCCGTGTAAAGATGATATACAATACATCTAAATGCGAGATATGGCATATCTTTTATGGTAATAGTTTTCATATGTCCTTCTAACCATTCTCCACCTAATAATCTTTCAAAATATTCAGATCTGGCAGCTAAAATAACTCGATGAGCTTTTAAATTTGAACCACAATCAAATAAAAATTCCACATCACAAAAAAGATTTTCACTGAAAAATCGTTCAAAAGGTAAAAGTGAATTTATATAATATTCTGGTATAACATTCATTAAACTTGAACCTTCCCCATGTGTCATTGTTGTTGTCGTTGTCGTCGTTAAATCATCAAATATTTCAGCTCGTACCATTAAATCCATCTCAGGTAAATTTGGTAAATATGATTCATTGGGATATAAATCTTTAAGACTAATTATTCTGGCAAATCCATAATCCGCATTCACTCCATTAAATTCAAAATTTGTTTCTAATATATGTCGATCAATTATGAGATTTGGTTCTTGGATGGTATTTAATTGTTCTCTTCCCAAACGATATAAAGCTAATCTAAATTTTTTGTGTCTACCAATTATACCATTCTGTCTTTCGTATTGAGTTTGTATTGCTTCAAGATAAAGTGAAATAAATTCTGCTGATTTTTTGTCAACACCATTAGGAAATAATTTTAGTCTCCATAAATAATCGATACTATTATTATTATTGACATTTCGTTGATTGGCAATGTTTAAAATAATACACTTTCCAGTATTTCCTCTGGGTGACCAAAACCTTTCACTATAAAAAAAGGTACCATTGGGGTGTCGCGAAACAAGTTCGTTGAAACAATTAATTTTCCAAATAAACGTAAAACAACCTTCCTCCATTTTTTTTTTTTTAGAAATTCGAGATTTGAAGATTTTCGGGATGCATTTTTTATAACCTTATTTTAGCGTGACTGATTCGCGTGTGATGACATATTCATCGCACTACCTTAAACTTTGTAAATTTTGTAAAATTGAATCGAAGAAAGCAGCAATATAATAATAGAAATCATAGAAATAAAAATAATAAAGGATAATGTTTTATGATTTAAATATTCCCTTTCCTACTCAACCTAATCAAGTGGTCCAACGAAATGAACTACGTAAAAGGATTGAGATACTGATTAAACGTAAATAATAATTTATAAATTATAAAAAATATTAGTATTCTTTTTGCAAATTAAATAAAACTAAAATATTAACGAAATTAATAAATTTTTATAGTTGGGTATCAAGTTATTGCGTTCAATCACATTGTAACAGGGAAAATAAATCCAAATAAAGTAAATTAAATAAAAGAAAAGCAAGTTTCAAAAATAAAGCAATTTATTTATTTTTATAATATTAATGAAATTTACAATAATTTAAAGACAAATCCAATAACAACATTAGATTATGAGATTTTTGATCCTAATCAAAATTCAAGAATCGAACAATTAACTCGAATCACTATTATTCTCGAAGATTCAAATCAAAACATTGGTTTGGTTTGTAATAAATCTTTTATTTATGATATTTTTTTAATTTTTTTTTAATGTTTTTTTGATTATAATTATAATTATAATTTTTTTTTTTTTAAAAAAAAAAAAAAAAGAAATCTAGCAATGCAACTGCTTCGTATGATATTATTTCTGTTCAACCAACGAACGAAAAGTTATTTCAAAACGCCTGTGGAACATTTGAAGTAGATATTATCTCTTTAGAAATGGGATCACGTTTGCCATTTTATATCAAACATAGTACTGTTGGATTGGCAATAGAGCGTGGTGTATTTTTTGAAATTTGTTATGCACCGGCTATTAGAGGTTTTTATCTAAAATTTTTTATTTATTTTATTTTATTTTTTATTTATTTATTTTATTTTATTTTATTTTTTAGATGCATCATCACGTAGACAATTAATATCTAATGCACAAAATTTGGTTAGAGTAACGCGTGGTAAAAATATTATAATTACTAGTGAAGCTCAAAGAGCAATGGAATTACGTGGTCCTTATGACATTATGAATTTGTAATTAAATTTACCGATTTCACATTTCATTTCATTTCATAAATAAATAAATTTAATCATGAATTATATTATTTTTATTATTATATAGAGCTACAATTATGGGTATGAATCAAGCTACGGCTAAAGAATGCATTTCAACAAATTGTCGATCCGTTGTGATGCATGCTGGTAGGTGATGATTTTACTTTATATTTGATTATTCCTACTAAGATATAATTTATAATAATCATAATATTATAATAATAATAATAATATTATTATTATTATTTAGCAACGAGACGAAATACTCATAAAGCAGCGGCTTCTTTTGAACCAATTGCTTCATTGAAACTAAATGATTTATGGAAAATAGGAAAAGAAAGGTCATCAAATAATTCAAATAATAATAATAATAATAATAATTTAAAACGTATGAAATTTAGTGAAGAAGAAGGAGATGATGATGATGATGACGATAATAATAATAGTAATAAGAAGAATAATAATAAGAAGAATGAAAAGAAAAAGAAAAAATCAAATAAATTACGAAAATTGGAAATGTGATATAATTTATTTTAAATAATTTAAATATAATTCAAATGTATTATAGTCTTAAGTTCGAAATAATGCAACTTCACGTGCAAAGCTGCTGCTTTGGATATTATTCCAACATTTTTTGGAAAATGAATGAAGAATTTCATCACATCTATGTCCAATTTATATGATACTTGTCACAAATTATTGCACATGATGATTAAATTTACAAAAGTTTGATATAATATTTTATTACATCGATCTTTCGATAAGAGTAAAAAAAATATTATTTTTATATATCTTTTCACTTAGGTCCCCTTGAACTACACTAATTAATAATTGACTAATATCGGTATCAACTTAAGCTTTCCAATATTATTCACAAAGTTTATATCTTTTAATAGAGTTACATGAGCTTTATCTTTTTGCAATATTTGAAAGTTTGATATTTGATATTTGAAAAAAGAATCAAAAATTTGATTGATATTTGTCAGCAAAAGTTACGTTTTTGATATATTTTGGATGTTCTCACGTTATAAAACTTCAGGTTAATCTATAAATAGTTTAACGTGATTAAAGATAAAAAAATTTCAGTTGGTACAACGTTTTCTGTCAATAATGGAATCTCTTGACGAACTTTCAAAACTTGAGTATCTTTCTTTGATTTCCAAAATTACTAGTGAACTTCTAAACCATACCGGAATAAATGATAAAACTTTAGGTAAATTTATTTTTAATTTTCTTCAAATTTTTCTCACTGATTAATAAGGTCACATATATATATTTATATATATTAATATCAATTCTTTGTAGCCGAGTTTATCATCAATCTACATGAGCAAAATCCAACATTACCGGCATTCAAAAAGGCTCTTGAAGATGCTGAGGCTGCTTTCCCTGAGTCATTTGTTGTTAACCTGGATCGTTTGATCCAAAAAATGAATCCGAAATACAAGCAAAAAGAAATTGTTATTGAGAGCATAGAAATGAGTAAAGATACGAGTAGAGATAGGAGTATAGACATGAGTAGAGAAATAAGGAGTAGGAGTAGAGAAAGAAGTAGAGAAATAAGGAGTAGGAGTAGAAATAGGAGTAGAGAAAGAAGGATGAGAGACAGAAGTAGAGAAATAATGAATTTTAGTAGAGATAGGAGTAGAGAAAGAAGGAGTAGAGAGAGGAGTAGGAGTCGAGATAGGAGTAGAGAAATAAGGAGTAGGAGTAGAGGAAGAAGGAGTAGAGAAATAAGAGACAGAAGTAGAGAAATGAGAGACAGGAGCAGAGACAGAAGTAGAGAAATAAGAGACAGGAGTAGAGAAATAAGAGACAGGAGTAGAGAAATAAGAGGCAGGAGTAGAGACAGGAGTAGAGAAATAAGGAATAGAGAAAGAAGGGGTAGAGACAAAAGTAGAGATAGGAGCAGAGATCGATTTAGAGACCGTAACCGTAGCCGAGATAGGGGTCGGAAATCTGAAAGAGAACAACATGACGAAAAGCCTATATTATATAAAATATACAACGGGCGCGTAACGAATATAAAAGAGTTTGGTGCCTTTGTAAGTCTAGAAGGCGTTAAAGGACGAGTGGAAGGTGAGCATTCTAGTCATACAGTCATACTACTGCTCGTATTTAATTTTCTTGACATTATTAAATTTTCTTATTCCATTTATTAGGTATGGTGCACGTTAGTATGTTGGTAACAGGGGGTAGAGTTTCGCATCCTTCTGAAGTTGTGGCTCGAAATTCCAAAGTCAAAGTCAAGGTTATGTCCATCGCAGCATCTCGGATTAGTTTGTCTATGAAAGATGTAGATCAAAAAACCGGACAAGATTTGTCTCCACATTTACGTATTAAAACCGAAGAGGTATATAAAAATCAATAATTTTTATAATTTTTCGTTGTAAAATTTTTTTTAAATGTATTTCTTTAAATTTTTTGTTGATAGGAACTTGCAGCCGATGCTCTTCGCAATTCTGAGCGATCGTTCTTCGGAAAAGTTCCAGTTATAGAAGACAATGAAGGACAAAACAATCTTAAACGACTTTCTTCACCAGAACGCTGGGAGCTCAAACAATTAATAGCGTCGGGTGTATTAAGCGCATCCGAATTACCTAATTATGATGAGGAAATTGGTACTACTGAAAATATGGAAACAGAAGAGGAATTAGACATTGAAATTAGAGAAGAAGAGCCGATGTTTTTAAGAGGGCAAAAAAAACATACTATGCAATTGAGTCCAATTAAAGTTGTTAAAGCACCAGATGGAACTTTGAATCGAGCTGCTCTTGCTGGTGCATCGTTAGCGAAGGAACGTAGAGAATTAAGGTTGGTATGTAATAAAATTTTAATTTTGAGTTTATGATTTTGACCTAAGAAATTTATTCATATTGTAACATAGAGCACAACAAACAAATGCAGAATTAGACTCAGTACCCAAAGACATCAACATTCCATGGTTAGACCCTATGCCTGAGCCAGGTGAACGTCATTTTGCACAAGATTTAAGGGGCATTGCAGCAGGTCGAAAAGCTGGGGAAGTACCCGAATGGAAAAGAGAAACTTTCAATAAAACAACTAGCTTCGGAAGAGTCACTTCATTATCCATTCAAGAGCAACGTAAAAATCTACCTATATATCAAATGAGACCAATGTTGATTCAGGCGATAACTGAAGTATGTAGAAAAATTATTCTGATTTCTCTAGCTATTTTTTTTTTTTTTTAACTTTTTTAGTATTAACGATCTATTTCAATTTTCAATTAAATTAGAATCAACAATTAATCATTGTTGGTGATACGGGGTCAGGAAAAACTACACAAATGACACAATACCTTGTTGAGGAAGGCTTTGCAGAACGTGGAAAGATTGGGTGCACCCAACCTCGTCGTGTGGCAGCAATGTCGGTTGCGAAACGTGTAGCTGAAGAGGTTGGTTGTCGATTGGGTGAAGAAGTTGGGTACACAATTCGATTCGAAGACTGCACTAGCCCTAGCACGAAAATAAAATACATGACGGATGGTATGTTACTCAGAGAATGTTTGTTAGATCCCGACCTAAAACAATATTCGGTAATTATTTTGGATGAAGCTCACGAGAGAACGATACACACTGATGTATTATTTGGGTTACTCAAAAGTATAGTTTTTTTTTTTAATATTTGTTTTGTCTTTGCTTTTTTTTTTATGAACGATAATTTATTAAAACCATGTTATTTCATTTTTTTTGTTGGTTCTGGCAGAAACTCTCAAGAATCGACAAGAACTTAAAGTAATTGTTACCTCAGCCACCTTAAATGCCGAAAAGTTTTCGGAATACTTTTACAATTGCCCAATTTTTAGTATTCCTGGACGTAAATTTCCGGTTGAGGTTCTTTATACCAAAGAACCCGAAAGCGATTATTTAGACGCGGCTCTTATTACTGTCATGCAAATTCATCTTTCTGAACCTCCAGGTGATATCCTCCTTTTCTTAACTGGTCAAGAAGAAATTGATACTGCATGTGAGATTTTATATGAACGTATGAAAGCACTTGGTCCCCAGGTTCCTGATTTGGTCATTTTACCAGTCTACTCGGCTTTACCTAGCGAAATGCAATCAAGAATATTTGAACCGGCACCCCCAGGCAGTCGTAAAGTTGTTATTGCGACCAATATCGCTGAAACGTCAATTACTATAGATGGAATTTATTATGTTGTAGACCCAGGTTTTGTAAAACAAAATGCATATGATCCGAAAGTAGGAATGGATTCATTAATTGTTACAGTAGGTATTTTTTTTTTTTTTCTAAACAAATTTATAACAATTTGATTTAATATCGACCATGTTTTTTTATTGACCACATTTTTGTTATTAATTAGCCTATTTCACAGGCACAAGCACGACAGCGCTCTGGTCGTGCCGGTCGTACAGGACCTGGAAAGTAAGTCATAAGAACTATGTATTGTCGTTGGTTGATTATGATTCATGATTTATAATGATATTGACTTATTATTTTAATTTTTTTTTAGATGTTATCGCCTTTATACGGAAGCAGCATATCGTAATGAAATGCTTCCAAATCCTGTTCCCGAAATTCAGCGTACTAATCTTGCAAATGCCGTGTTGACACTCAAAGCTATGGGTATCGATGATCTTCTACATTTCGATTTTATGGACCCTCCACCTGTTCAAACACTTATCACAGCTTTGGAACAGCTTTATGCTCTCTCCGCTTTAGATGATGAAGGTCTTTTGACTAGATTAGGTCGTAAAATGGCCGAATTTCCTTTGGAACCACCACTTTCAAAAATGTTAATTCTATCAGTTGATCTTAGGTGCTCTGAGGAAATTCTGACGATAGTGGCAATGTTATCTGTTCAAAATGTCTTTTACAGACCAAAAGAAAAACAAGCTATCGCTGATCAAAAGAAAGCAAAATTTCATCAACCAGAGGGAGATCACCTAACTCTCTTAACCGTTCATAATGCTTGGAAAGCCAGCAAATTTTCAAATGCTTGGTGTTTTGAAAATTTCATCCAAGGTCGAAGCATGAAAAGATGTCAAGATATTCGCAAACAACTTTTAGGTATTATGGATCGATATAAGCAAGATATTATTTCTTGTGGAAAAAATTATAACAATGTACGTAGAGCGATTTGTGGTGGATTTTTCCGTCATGCAGCGAAAAAAGATCCACAAGAAGGTTATAAAACGTTGGTCGAAGGTACACCTGTCTATATTCATCCCTCAAGTGCATTATTTAATAAAGGACCTGAATGGTAAGTTTTAATTTTCTCACATTTCTACTATAAGGTTCAATTAGATTTATTCCATATCTAATCTGTGTTTAAAAAAAAATAGGGTGATATATCATGAACTTGTATTGACAACTAAGGAGTATATGAGGGAGGTTACAGCCATTGAACCAAAATGGCTTACTGAAGCAGCTCCAACCTTCTTCAAGGTTGCTGATGCGAATACAATTAGTAAACGAAAACGTGGAGAAAAGATTCAACCACTGTACAATAAATACGAAAAACCAAACGAGTGGAGATTAAGTCGCGTCAAAAGACATCAAAAAGTGTCTCAGACTTTTGGTAATTATTTTTTCCTTAATCATTTGTTTTATGTTCGAATTTTATTTTATTTAATGATAATATACTTAAAAAAAACTTTAAAAAATTTTCTAGGTTAATTGTATGTTATTATTATTATTATTATTGAACTTTAATAATCCGTGATTGCCTATAAAATAATTAGTGTAACATGGACAAAATAATATTAATAGAAAAGTAATCTAATAAAATTTAAGAAAACAATGAGGCGTAAAGAATAGATATATAATAGTCTTTTTTCTTGTATTATAATTCTTTTTTGTCTTTTCTAAATATTTGTACTCAAAATTTTGATGAACAATTAAAAATAAAAAAAGCTTTATTTTTCGAACAATACAAAAACTTCTTATTTCTAATAAATTTATGAATCATAATAAATAATATACTAATTTGCCGTGAGAATTTTATATTTTTGTATTTATTTTTTTTCATAAATATGGTTCCCAGAAATTTTTTTTTTTTAATCCAATTCTCTATTTTATTTTATTTTTTAAGGAAGGAATTGCTTCAATTGTAGTTTCATTATTTTTTACCATTTCTTTCAATCATCCAACATATCTTTAACACTATAAATGATTACTAGGATCACATTACCTTATTATAAAAAATTGATTCAACACTCTACTACTTTTTTTGCTCATTGCCTTTTTTTTTATTATATTTTTGATTGACATGATATTATTATGGATAAGTTAATTGATTCACAAGTAAAATTGGGGAATTAAGTCATGAAAATTGACGCAATTTTTGACGCAATTACATATACGCAATTAAATTTCAGTAATTAAGTCAAAAAAAGGTTTTTTTTTTAGTTTTGACGACATGTATAGTAATTATGTCACGTATTGATAACGAAAAACAAAAATTATTACGTTAGAATACTATAGTATATTGGCGAAAACCTGGTGTGGAAAGATCATCCATGAGACGTGACCAGATTTTAATTATTTCAAATGAACAAATAACTTTCGTAGTAACATTATGCGAAAGCTTTTTGAATTCGAAAAATGAAATAATTAAAAATGATAATACTTGTAAAAAAAAATGTCAAGACATCAATAATTTATACCACCAGGTCAATTATTGGGGGACCTTTTCTGTTGATGAAATTTTTCCAATAAAATAAAAGTATTACTAAAGCATTATCACCAAAAACACCACTTGCCATCAAACATCAATTATAGAAAAAGGGAAGGAAAAAGAAAGAAAAAAAATACACGTTCTGAATTTGGATCCACATAAGAAGGATGGATTGACATGGGGTGTCAAAATGAGTGTAACAATTAAAAGTCAACTAGAATATACCACAACTAAATAGGTATTTAATTTGACAAGAATATTTGCAAATAGGCAAGGAATGATTTGTAAATAAGCAAAGACCGACACACATAAGCGGTTCAATTTTTTTTGATTTTGTGACATGTGGTTTCCCTTACACCTTATCTGGCCACTCTGATTTCGCTGACCATTCTCAGCACAACGGTTTTCAAAAATGTTGATGAAAAATCAAAGTGGTGGTGTTAAAATTCCTTCAGAAATATCAAACAATACTGTAGTGAATCAGTTGTGCGTGATGAAAGATTATATGAATTCATACCAAATAAAAAAAAATGTTACGATATTGAGGATGATAGTTGCAATTAAATTCAATATTGATGATTTTTTAATGTAATTGTGATATTATTGGAATTAGCTAATTTTAGAATAAAAATGTATTACATTAACGCGTCGCGTAAAAATATGAATTACGATTGGCTCAATAATGTGATATAACTGATCATACACGTGAAAGTTTTCAAAAATGTTTCTTGTAGAATGTTCAGTTTCAGTATTCAGTAAGAAAGTGAAAAATCACCGATAAAGTATTAACATCCAATTTATCCAATTTAAGCATTTTTTATTCTTCTCGTTCCTCTTGTGAAAAATACACGTAGAAAATTGTTTCACAGAGAAAAATCATGTCTCTACGTCATGCCACCACGTACAAGTTAAATCTTTATTAATAAGCCTTTTTTTTTTTTTTTCTTCAAAAATTCAAAAATCAGTATACATTAGTACACGAAACTTGAGTTATTGGTAACCAATCAAAAACCTGTAATTATAATTAAACCATAATCTGCTATTCGTATTAATAAAAAAAAAAGAATTTCGAAAATGTCAAAAGCCACCTCGAATATCACAGTTTTAATTGATAATTATGATTCTTTTACTTGGAATGTATATCAATACCTTTCAGATCTTAATGCTGAAGTTCAAGTTTATCGAAACGACGAAATTACTATTGATAATTTGATTTCACTTAAACCCAAAAATATTATAATTTCTCCTGGACCAGGTCATCCTTCAACCGATGCGGGAATTTCTAGTGAAGTAATTCATTTCTATGCAGGAAAAATTCCTATTCTTGGAATTTGTCTTGGTGAACAATGTATTTTTGAAGCTTTTGGTGGTAAAGTTTCTTATGCTGGAGAAATTGTTCACGGTAAAACTTCAATCATAAAACATGACGGAAAAGGAATTTATATTAATGTGCCAAAGGATATTTCAGCTACTAGATATCATTCTCTAGCTGCTCAACAAAATACTATTCCTGATCAATTAGAGGTGACTAGTTGGAGTGAAAGTGGAGTTGTAATGGGTGTTAGACATCGAGAATTTACCATTGAAGGAATACAATTTCATCCCGAAAGTATTCTTAGTGAAAATGGTAAAATAATTCTTGAAAATTTTTTAAAATTAGAAGGAGGAATGTGGGAAAATAATCCGAAATTTTTTGTTAAATCACCATTGGCCAAAACTCAAATTTCAACCAACTCGGTTCCTTCAATTTTGGAAAGAATTAAAAATCAAAGGTTGATCGATATTGCAAATGCTAAAAATCAACCTGGATCATCTTCACTTGATTACGAAAAATTATTATCACTTCATGTGGCTCCTCCTTTAATTGATTTTGTTGTCAGGATAAAACAAACATTACCAAAATATCCTGCCATTTTTGCTGAAGTTAAACGAGCTTCTCCAAGTAAAGGTAATATTGACATAACGGTTAATGCTGCGGAACAAGCTCTAACTTATGCGAAAGCGGGTGCTTCTGTAATTTCAGTATTAACTGAACCAAAATGGTTCAAAGGTACTTTAAATGATATGAGACAAATTCGAGATGTATTATCAACAATTCCTAATCGACCAGCTATATTACGAAAAGATTTTATATTAGATACTTATCAAATTATGGAAGCACGTATATACGGAGCTGATACTATATTATTAATTGTCTCATTATTATCAGATGAAAAATTAATGGAATTATATAAATTTTCCAAACATCTCGGTATGGAACCTTTAGTAGAGGTTAATAATGAAGAAGAAATGAAACGAGCTGTAAAGTTAGGAGCCAAAGTAATTGGAGTTAACAATAGAAATTTACATACATTTGATGTTGATTTAAATACCACTTCCCGTCTAGCTGAGATGGTATCAGATGACGTGATATTAGCAGCTTTGAGTGGAATAACTGAAAGAGATGATGTTGTTAAATATCTTGAACAAGGAGTTGGAGCATTATTAATTGGTGAAGCACTGATGAGATCAAAAGATAAGAAAGCATTTATTCACGAAATTCTTGGATTAGATAAATCCGTGAAAAAAAAATCAAATACCGAGAAGGTGGTAGTTACACCTTTAGTAAAAATTTGTGGAGTATCAACGATCGATGCAGCAATAGAAGCAGCCGATGCAGGGGCAGATTTTATTGGACTTATTTTTGCTAAATCCAAAAGACAAGTAACAATTGATCGAGCGTTAGAAATTGTTGCAGTTATACGAGACTTTCAATCAGAAAAAATTAATGAAACGAAAGAAGAAGAAGTTAACGAGATTAATGGTAAAGAAGATTCTCTACCAGTATATTTCGAACAACAATATGATTGGTTTAATTTACAAGCGAACAGAATAAATAGAAACACAAGAAAACCATTAATAGTGGGAGTATTTCAAAATCAACCATTAGATGAAATAATTAAAATAGTTGATCATTTGAAATTAGATTTAGTTCAATTACATGGAGAAGAAACATTAGAAATGTCAAGATTTATACCTCTACCTGTAATTAAAGCTTTTCATATTGATGAAAGTTTTTCCAATCCGACGTTAGTTTCTCAACCAGGATATAATGCATTATCTTTATTAGACACAAAAGTGACGATAACTAAAGATTCGAAAGAGCAACACCAAGGAGGAGGAGGAATTGCCTTTGATTGGAATATAGCATTAGATATTAAAAAAAGTGCATCGAAAAATGTAGGGAAATTCGGATATCCAATAATTTTAGCGGGAGGATTAAAACCAGAAAATGTCGTAGAGGCCATAGAATTAGTGAAACCATGGTGTGTTGATGTATCAAGTGGAGTTGAGACAGATGGAGTAAAAGATTTAGATAAAATTAGAGAATTCATTAAAAATGCAAAATCAATTATTTACGAAGAAGAGGATGAAGAAAAAATTGAGGATGAACAAAAAACGGTGAATGGGAAGCAAAATTGAAAAAAATAAAATAAAAATAAAAATAATTTTAATAATTCTCTATATTAAACTTATTTATTCTCATATATTTATTTATTCTATTTATTTTTAGATTTCTTCACATTCTTGTATTTTATTATTTAGGAAATTTGACAATATGCACAACTTAATAATTTCAATTTTGTCATAATATTTAGAATATTTTGTATTTTATATTTGCATATATTTTATGTTTGCATATTTCAAATAAATAAATTTATTTATTTTATTTTTAAATAAATAATTGCATATGTGACTATATACAGATAAAAAAAAAATAAATAAAATATAGAAAAATGTATTACGTAGAAAGGACTGTATATTTACACCGAAAACAATATGAATAACATAAATAACATATAAAATATAAAATATTAATGACAAATCTAATAAATATTGATAAATCGAATCGTAATAAATAATAAAAAATAATTCATAAGAAGTAACATAAAAAGAATCTTATTAGAGATTTACAATAAAGTCTTGGTAGAAAAAAAAATTTTTTTTTTTTTTAAAATGCCAGCATATAATGAATGTGAAGAAAAAATTTGTCATCATTTATTCTTCTCAACAATCAAATAAAAAAATTTCACAACTATCATTTGTTACCATTCAAAGTTCGTTCTTCTTTCTTCTTATACCGAATAATTTTTTAATCATCAGTTAAATTAACATCCTCAAGAGACTTCATAAATAACTGTTTACCTAAGTGTTGTTTGAGACCATCATTTTGGCTACGAAGCATTTGATTCTCCTTCGTGATTTGTGAGTATTGATTCTTTTTAATTTTAGATCATTTAAAAGAAATTACGTGTGTCAATGAAAACAGAAAATGAAAGATACCCACATAAAAAATTCGTATGTGATCTTTGATATTTAGAACCCTTTTTACCTTTAAATCCTCATTTTCTGCTTCTAGTGATGTTAATTCTGTTTGCAAACTCATCCTTCGTTGTGTGATCTCTAAAATCTGCTTTGTAAGTTCATTTCTATCTTCTTTCTTCTAAAACAAGATAAATTAAAATATAAGAAAGATTTTCAAAAAATATAAAAAAATGTAGAGAGAGATATATATTATATTTATTAAAAAAATATATTTAAACCCCACCTTTTCGCTAAACATTATTTCCATTGATGATCGACTATCAGTGGTATCTGTTGTATTTGTTGAAATCCTTCGCATTTTTTGTTGTGAATCATTTATGTCAGCCAATTCAATAGTTAGTCTTGAGATTTCTACATTAGCGAGATTAAGTGCATCTTCAAGTTGATTGATTTGTTCTTTGAAAATTGAACGCTCGACGTCCATTTCTTCAATTATTGCTTCACGTTCTCGATGCGTTTGTTCAACCAACTACGATATATATATATTTATTATATATTTATTATATATTATATATTAAATCTTTAAATGTAAAAAAAAGGAAAACTAAAATTGAATGATAATTAATTAATTAAATTTTAATCACTTTTTCTTGCCAACTATTAAATTCTTCTTCCTTGGCCACTAACTGATCGGCCATGGCTTGCATTTGTTCTATAAATAAACATTAATTAAACCCGTTTCAGAAAATAAAATTAAAAAAATAAAAAAGGTAAAATATGTGAGTGATCGAAAAAAAAAATATATATATAATAAATTACCTCTAAGTGATTTGTTTTCATCTTCGATATCCGTAAATCTGGTTTTTTCTTGAGTTATTTCATTATTCAATAAATCAAGTTTTGCATAAGCTGATCGAAGGCTTTTGTTCTATTTTTATATCAAAATATTAAAATAATTTATACATCATTGTGATGATCGAAATGAATTTTATCCAATTATATTAGTTTGACAAATGTACTTTATCCTTGAAAGCCTTGTAAAGCGAAGTGATATATTCTTTGAGTTTCTTTGGTTCCTCCTTTAAAAAAAAAATTGAAAAATTGAAAAATTGATAAAAAATTGTTAACAATAAAGATTATAATTATGATGAAACAGTAGAATAACAGGATAAAATAGATGTATTGTATATAAAAAATATATGAAATATATGAAATATATAAAATAATAATAATTAACAATAATACATACTTCCGAACTTATGACAGTTGCATAGTCTCCAAAGTCTTCGTCACGTTTTGCGGCGATAACAGTATTTCTTCGGAAAAGGCCTCCGGTACGCATTTCGTTGAAAAAACTTTGACTATTTGACGACTGTGTTGACGGAACTAGGGTTTTAAAATTTAAATTAATTTATTTGAAAAAATTCTTTAAAAAAAAGTTTCTTATGGAATTATTTGATATTCTTTGATATTCTTTGAAAAAAAAAAAATATATCGGAGATATATATATATATATATTAATAGTACAAGTGGATTAAAACCCAAAAAGAAAACTGTAACATTGTACGTAAATTTCCTGCTGTAATAATTGTAATAATGAAAACTATATTTTCATTGGATTATTAGTTATTCATTAGCCCCTGAACTGCCTTTAGAAGTTTTGAATAATCGATCACAGTGGTAAGACAGTATGAAATGAATTGTTATTGTACTCTGCATTGTGTTGTTTACCTTACTTCAAACTAAATATATTTATAATTGATAATGAATTAATTCGCTGAATTTTGTCGCTGTAATTAAGAAAATTAGAAAATGATCATTATCTCATTTTTATTTAATAATTGTGGTGTGCATCTAATTTTAGTGGATATAAACTGGTTAAAGAATTTCTAAAAATAAATTAGAAAAATAGACGAATACGCATCGCTTAACTTGTTTCTTATGATATTCACGGGTTGGAGTATTGTCTGTTTCAATATATTACTTTAATAAGAAATTTCAATTTTATATATCGTTGATCTTTCCTGAATTTACGTGTTTTGATCTAATCAAGTTTACGCTAAATTTTCTTAAAAAACTCGAATGGTATATATCGAATAAAAATAAATTTCTTTCATCTATAATTATTATTCTCTCACAATCTTTCAATTACAATAATAATAATAATAATAATAATAATTTCTCTTTCTATCAATTTTACTACTATACTACTATACTACTTTGTAGCGCTATTACCACTATTAATCACATTCCATCTCTTTTCACATTGTTGCCAAGTTTTATGAGGAACATTCGCGGCTACTGCTCTCCAAACTTCAGTGAAAGCTTTGGAATGTTCTTTCACAGATTGTTTAAGTAAAGCTTCATCTTCTTCGGACCAATCAGCTGGACGTCGTTTAAGATATTGGTAGCTAATTTTTTTTAAAAAAAAAGAATATGAGAGAAAAATATATCAACAATAACAACAATCGCGATATAATAATAATAATAATAATAATAATAGACAATTGTATTTACTGTATATCAACTAACCGATTTTTACAACTTTGAGCATCACGACCAGGAAGGTGAGTAGAGATTTTAGTCCAAGCTGTTCCATATTGTTCAATTAACAATTTTAAACGGGTATCCTCTTGAAATGACCATTGATGACGTTTCGAAGTTTCTTCGTTCATTTTTTCTTGTTATATATATATAAAATACGCTATAGGTATGTATATATATTGATTAATGAAAAATAAATTATTTTTAATAAAATTTATAAAAAAAAAGTTGAAAGATTTAATTCTAGAAAAAAAGGTTTATTACATTTAAATATTGTGTACGTTATATTATATGTTACAAAAAAAAAATAGTTAAATTTTTGACTCTTAATATCAATCAGTTTTTTTTAAAAACTTACGTAAATTATTTTAAGAATCATTTTTGGATCACGTGGAAAACAAAATAATATATCGACCTGCTAAAAAGTGTTAAAAAATAATTATTAAAATTCCAAATTGTAACACAATGGACTCATCCAATTTGTATAAAATTTTCTTTTATTTGATTCCTCTAGTAATAAGTTATTAGATGATGTCTTTTTATTAAAATTGGACATCTGTAAGAGCAGGAATTTATTTCAAATATTAATTAATCATAAAATACCAATTTTAATACTTAATCGTAATTTTCATCGGTTTCAATGAATCTCAAAATCAGATACAAACTATCTTATAAAGAATTATAGCCAGAAAACATTATCTACAACTTAGAAGCATTTTTATAGTTACTAGTGAAAATTGAAACTTTACTTGATATAAAATATAAATGATAATCTATCTATCCACGTGTCGGATAACTGGAATCAAATTATTCCAATCGTGACAAAAGTTATGCCATTTTCCGGAGGTAAATTTCAATTTGGGAATGTTATAAATAGTATTTCAAATTCTCTGTCCCTTAGAAAAATATAATAAAAATCATAAATGTAACAACCATCACACCCTAACCCATAAATATTATATTACAGGGATGCGGAATTTCCCCTCCGGTTAAATGTAGTTATTTTCTTTATTTAATCTGGTGGGTGTTGGAATTCTATCCACGTTTCGAATAACTTTAAGTGCTAGTCAATATTGGAATTAAATTATTCCAATCGTGACAAAGTTACGCCATTTGCTGAAACAAAAAGAATTTTAATCGGAGCGACATTTCCATTTGGTGATATATGAATGAGACGAATTCTCTGTCCCTAAAAAATATAATGAAAATCGTAAAATGTAAAGAACGTAACACAAACCCTAACCCATAGATAGCATATTACAGGGTGCGGAATCTTCTTTATTTAATCTGGCGGATGTTGGAAATTTTTTTTTTTTTTGGATTTTAGAGAAGAGATGGAAAAAGCTAAAGAAATCAGAGAAATAAAAGAAATAAAAGAAATGAGAAAAGTGGAAGGAATGAAAAAAATGAGAGAAACAGGAGAATTAAAAGAGTAGGCATATTGTACATTAAACTTTATTTTAAAATCATAATTTATTGTTAATAGTAAATTACATATATTAAATTATATTTCAAATCAACATAAATTATATTACAGCGAGTGAGTATTTAAATTCATAATTATCGAAAATCAATGTTTCAATATTACATAACAATTCTCTAATCAGTTATAAAAAACAAATCAATATAAATTATATTACAGTCAGTGAGTATTTAGATTCATAATTATTGAAATCAATGTTTCAATATCATATAACAATTCTCTAATCAATTATATACATTATATTACAGCCAGTAAGTATTTGAATTCATTATTATTGAAATCAATGTTTCAATTCAAGTTAATTCAATATCATACCTAATCAATTATAAAACTAAATTCTATTAAAGTCTGTGAGTATTTAGATTTATAATTATTGAAATCAATGTTTCGATATTATCTAACAATTCTCTAATCAATAATAAACTAATCACATATATACTATATTACAGTCGGTGAGTATTAGATTTATAATTATTGAAATCAATATTTTAATACCAATTCTCTAATCAGTTATAAACTAATCACATATTTATTATATTACAGCTGGTGAGTATTTAGATTCATAATTTTTTTTGAAATTAAAATGTTTCTAATCAATTATAAACTATTCATATATATATTATATTAAAGTCTGTAAGTATTTAGGTTCATAATTATAATTATTGAAATCAATGTTTCAATATCATGTAACAATTTTCTAATCAATTATAAACTAATTATATATATATATATATATGTATTATATTAAAGTCGGTGAGTATTTAACTTTGTAATTATTGAAATCAATGTTTCAATATCATATAATAATCCTCTAATCGATTGTAAATTAATTAATAATAAATTATATTACAGTGAGTGAGTATTTAGATTCATAATTATTGAAATCAATGTTTTAATATCATATAACAATTCTCTAATCAATTGTAAATTAATTACATATATGATATATTACAGTGAGTAAGTATTTAGATTTATAATTATTGAAATCAATGTTTCAATATCATATAACAATTCTCTAATCAATTATAAATTAATCACCTATATATTATATTACAGTCTGTGAGTATTTATACACATAATTATTGAGATCAAAAAATGTTTCAATATTATATAACAATCCTCTAATCAATTATAAACTAATCACATATATATATCATATTACAGTCTGTAAGTATTTAGATTTGCAATTATTGAATCAATGTTTCAATATCATATACCAATTCTCTAATTAATTACTGTATAAACTAATCATATATATATTATATTACAGCAAGTAAGTATTTAGATTAATAATTATGTTTAAATTTAACTCAATATTAATTATAAATTTTCAATATAAATTAAATACAGTTAGTAAGTATTTATATTCATAATTATTGAATCAATGTTTCAATATTATATAACAATCCTCTAATCAATTATAAAATCAATCATGTATATATTACAGCCAGTAAGTATTTAGATTCATAATTATTGAAATTAACATTTCAATATCATATATAAAATTCTCTAACCAATAATAAACTAATCAATATAAATTATATTACAGTGAGTGAGTATTTAAAATTCATAATTATTGAAATCAATGTTTCAACAATTTTCTAATCAATTATAAACCAATTAATATAAATTATAACAGTGAGTGAGTATTTAGATTCAAATCAATGTTTTAATATTATATAACAATTCTCTAATCAATTATAAACTAATCAATATAAATTATATTACAGTGAGTGAGTATTTAGATTCATAATTATTGAAATCAATGTTTCAATTTAATTTAATTTAATATTATATCTAATCAATTATAAATAAATTATATTACAGCGAGTGAGTATTTAGATTCATAATTATTAAAATTAATGTTTCAATTTAATTTAATTTTAATATTATATCCAATCAATTATAAATAAATTATATTATAGCAAGTGAGTTATCCAGAAATTTTTTTAGGAATAAATCTCTATAACATTATGTAACTTACGCAAATATATACGTATAGATTTTCGTAAATTTACATGTATAAAATTTACATAAAATTATACAGATCATATAATATTATATAAATTTATAGATGTATACAAATCTACATATATTTGTGTAAATCTTATAATATTACACAACATTACGGTTTATAAATTTTCCTGATGTTGAAATCAATATTTCAATATCAAATAATAATTCCTAATCAATTATAAACTAATTATATCTATATTATATTATAGTCTGTGAGTATTTAAATTTATAATTATTGAAATCAATATTTCAATATCATATAATAATTCTCTAATCAATTATAACCTAATTAATATAAATTATATTACAGCAAGTGAGTATTTAGATTCATAATTATTGAAACCAATGTTCAATATCATATAATAATTTCTTTAATTAATTATCAATAATATTTTAGTGTTCATGAAAAGTGCAATGAATGTCATCAATGTAATACTGGAAGAAATTGGTGCCAACCATGTAATGTCAAACGATTTCAAAATGAATTTAATAAATGGACAAGTGAAGATAAAGAAATTGATGAATTTATTCAACAAATTCAACTAAATGCAAATAAACGTCAAGAAATTATTGAGTGGATTCCATTTGAAAGACTTGAGAATATCACATACCTTGATAAAGGGGGTTTCAGCACAGTATACAAAGCAAATTGGCTTGATGGATTTATTATTCGTTGGAATCATGAAGAAGAAAAGTGGAACAGGTTTGGTATATATGGTGGACAAAATGTTTGTTTAAAAAGTCTTGGTAATTTCACAAACAAAAATGATTTTTTGCAAGAGGTAAATATTTTATGTTATTTAATTTTCATTATTTTAAATATATAATAATTATATTAATATTAATAAAATATTTTAGATTAAAAATCAACTTAAATTTCGAGGTAAAAAGGCAATTGCAATATATGGTATCACTAAAGATTCAATAACAAATGAATATATGATAGTTATGAGTTATGCAGAATATGGTAGTCTTCGAAAACTATTAAATAATAAGTTTAAAAAATTAACTTGGAGTAGAAAATTGACTATTTTATTAACTATTGTAAAAGGACTTAAAAATATTCATGAAATGGGTTTAATGCATAAGGATTTTCATTCTGGTAATATAGTTAATCAAGATTTAATTTCATGTTATATTACTGATTTCGGATTGTGTAAACCAGTTTCAGAAAATGATCCAGAAAAAATCTATGGTGTAATTCCATATATGGCACCTGAGACATTGAGTAGAGGAGAATATACTCAAGCATCTGATATTTATTCTTTTGGTATGATTATGTTAGAAGTTTTAACTAGTTATCCACCATATTATAATATTTCACATGATTTAAATCTTGTAATAAAAATTTGTGAAAGGCATAAACCTGAGATCAAGTGTGAAATTCCTCAAACACTCAAAGAAATAATGAAAAAATGCTGGAATTTTGAACCTTTCAATCGTCCAACTGCTGAAGAATTGAATTTTCAACTTGATGAATATTATTCTAATATACATCATTATGAAATAAGAAAACAAATTAAAGTAGCAAATAAATCAAACATGAACAAGAATTTTATTCAATATAATTCAAGTAAAATGCATCCTGAAGCAATATATACAAGTAGAAATTTGGATTTTCTGAAACCAAATAATGCACATGGTAAGTATCTATATTTTTTAGCAATAAATAAATGATAAAACATTTACATTAATTATTATTTTAGATACAACACAATGGGATTTTGAAGTTCCTAATGATTTAAGTGAGTATTGTCTTTATTATATTTCTTGAATCATTTGTTTAATATATTTATCTAAGTAAATCAACAATTTTTGAATTTTACATAGTTGAAAAAAATGAAATTCGGGAGAATTAATCTTTAATTTGTTGGGAATCATTTTTTAGTCATAATGTTATTATTTAACTTTTGTATTTTCTCTAAAATTATTTATTCATTTGTTTTATTATATTTATATTTTATTATTTTATTATTTTATTTAATCACTGAAATTATAGAGTATAAATTAAAGCAGACCAGTATATAATCATTTAAAATAAATCATTATCGTGATATTTCAAAAATCAAAATATTTGATTATTCATTATTTGTGTTTATGCAATTTATAAATTGTTACTGTTGTTGACCGCATCAGGAAATTTTAATAGGCGAAAATTTGCGCAAGTTTTTTGTGCGTTTTTTCCTTTTTTTTGAGATTTGCGAGGTACAGAGCGATTTTCTACTAAGATATTTCTAAGATAGATAGAACGGCCTTATTCTTAGCTACTAAATGTTATGTGTTTCATTCCTGTAACATCGATATTTGCGGAGTTCGATTGGTTTAAACAAAACAATTGTGCAAAATTTGAAGATTTGCAAAAATTTTCGTCGATTTTTTCACAAATATTTTTTGATTAAACCGAATATCGATGCTAAATGAAAGAAATACATACCATTTTGTAGCTAAAAACAAGGCCGTTCTATCTACTTTAAAAACACTTTAGTAGAAAATCGTTCTGTGTCCCAAAAATCACGAGTGAAGTTGAAATAATGGAAAAAAAACACACAAAAAACTTGCAAGTGGTGAAAATTAGTGTAAATTTTCGCCTAATAAAATTTCCTTATGTGTGATTCACCTTCACTAAAGCATGATAACAGACAACTAGTAGCAGGGAAATTATTGTATAGAAGATCACTAAGCAATTATATGGGTGTGCTTAAGTTGAAAGGGTTATACTATAAGGTGAGTATTTGGGTTGCAGGTTTTATTCAAAAGAGGCAAGATATGAGGTTTTATAAATACTTAACACTAAGAAGTTCATTAATTAAAATAACAAGAAAATACTAAATATCCTAACACTAAAAAGAATAAATTCACAAAGGTCAAACACGCAGAATCTGATTGTGAAACAGAATAATTACCAAGAATATCCTCAGAACACAAAGCAGAGATCCCAAATAATTTGGGATTTGGGATGCCGAAATCCCGTATTCATAGTATTTGGGGTTTGGGATTTGGGATTTGTGATTTGAGCATTTCAGCATTTGGATTTTGAATTTGGGTGGCAGGTATATTACAAAGTAAGGTTTTTCACTAAGAAATCACAAATGGTTTAAATTATTATTTGTCACAAAAACTTCATTAATAATTTATTAAATTCAAAGGTTGGGAGAAAACCCAGTCTTTGCTTGTGTTACAGATTTACATAATAGAATATTAAAGAAAATTTTAGAAGATCTACTGTAAGTAATTCATACTACATGACTAAATTGATTAACTAATAACTATAAATATCTAGGAAATGGGAAGATTCCTATACATGATGCTTATTATTGAATAAAATCACATGTTGTGACAAGAATAACGTGATCGATCAATTTGCACTGACAATAAATATAAGATAGACTCAGTTTAGAATTTTAGAATTTTATTGAGACATTCAAATTTTATTGGTCTATTGTTTAGCAGGTGATTATAAATATTACATGTGGTGATAAATATATTACCCCCAGCAAATCCTAATTCTAGCACATGCATTTAACGGTAGGTTAGGATAAGAGTCTATGATAATTCAAATTACAAAAATCATATTTTATAATAAAAATAATAATAATAATTGAAATTTGCAATATCATCTAATATTGTATTTTCTTTTTATAAAATAATATGTTATATATTTTTAAGTATATTAAATTTTAGTATCAACGACAAGCATATTATATATACATACATATATATATATTATTATAATTAATACTTTGGTATCAAAAATATAAGCATGTTTTAGTATTAAATATTTTATTGAGTTTATTTTAACTTGATAAATATATTGTATCGAAGAAGAATAATAATTCTAATAATAACAACAACAATAAGTGATTCAATATTTATTTATTAAAATGCTAAAATTAATGATATAATATAATATTTGATTCGTGATCCGTGTAAGAACCGGACAATTTCATTAATAAAGATTGGGGATATGTATAATATAATATTTATTAGCAAAACGGAATCCAAAACATAGTAAATTTAACAAATAAATTTTGTTTCTTATATAAAATAATTTGTAAATTAAAGAAAAATTTATCTTGATTCTAAAAGTAGCTAAAAAACATATATTACTGATCATATTATTAATTTTATTATTTGATTTTAAGGAAGTTGGATTCCATAATGTTACACGGATTACGAATTAAGATATATTATTACAATAAAAATGAATTTCAACACGTGCTTTTTAATATTGCTGTCATAGATATTTGGATTTTTTTTTGCATTAGTAACTTTGATTTCAAATATCTCAATTGTTCGTTGACTTCAAATAGGATTATTGTGTTACGGAAATTTCTTTTAAGTCTCTATCTCATCTCTGTATTTGCAAATATTTTTTTCTGAATTGTAATAAAATGCAATTATGAAACGTAACATGTAATTTATTTAAATATGAAATCCCCCCATCTCAAATAAATAGATACATTTACATTAATGGTCTTAGATTCTATTATTGAACGAGTATATGTTATTCAACACTTTGGAAAAGAGAATATATACAACTTAAAAGAGTTGAGCAATTATATTTTATTAATTGGGAGTTCACATATGAAAGAGAATGAAATTTATTGTTTCTTTGCACATTTTTGAACTAGCCAATTGATGCATCTTACTTAATTCGTGATTCGCGAGAAATGGAAAGATCTACTGTACATTAATAAAATGCGGGGATAAGTTATATAGTAAAAATATATACAGTATATGCGATAATCTCAAGCCGGAATAGGAAAATTACAAAAGTCATTTTATCAATTATGATAAAAAAATCAAAGGTTCTGATTGTATATATTTTTAAAGTCAAATGGTTACATTAATAAAATAAGATAAAGTTTCCTTTTTTTAATAAACAAAACTTTCTTTTCGATTATATTTAAACCTTTATTTTGCCCCAAAATTTATTATGTAAATCCTTTCCGTTTCTCGCGAATCGCGAATTAACTATTAAATATTATAAATTGATACATTGGGAAGTTAAAAAGGTAGGTTAGACATGTACATATATTGATAAAATATTTTAATTATACATATTTTTTTAATATATTAAAATATAAAAATAGCATATGTAACTTAAAAAAATCATATTTTTTTGGTGTTACATATTAAATAAATTTAATGATTGGATATGATTCAAAAATTTCCTATTCTCTTAAGTAGACGGATTAACGTTGTTTGTACAATTTTACCCAATAAGGAAATAAATCAATTATGTCCTAAAAAAGTGAGTGCGAAATCATTTGATAGTTATCTATGTTAAAAGTGGTTTTGTGTAACAAATCTGTCAGAATTTTATGAAAATCATATATGCCTTGGAATTTTGCGTGAGTGAAATCCCATCGGAGTCGCAACAACTGTCACGGATATATGTTGTTCAGAATTTCGGTTTCTAAAGAATGCAGAAGGTTGGGAGAAAATAATAAAAATGATAATTTCCGGTGCAGATTGTGGTTTTATGTAACAAACCAATCTCATTGGAGTTACAACAACTGTACGAATATATGTTCAGAATTTCAGTTGCTAAAAAATGCAGAAGATTAGGAAAAAATAAAAAAATGGTAATTTCCGATGCAGATAAACTCCGCATCTGAATATATAACCGTGATCTTTGGATTTCAGCATCCCCAGATAAAAGTGATGATCGACGTTTTGGCAAATAAAGTCATTTTTTGTTTTCCCGCTTAACTTAATTAATTTTTAAAAAAAATGACGATCATAACTAACCTGTTATCATCATATCTTTTTTAAAATCTTTTCCAATTTTGATTGGTATTCACACACATTTCAATTCAGAAATTTCAGAAATCGGAGTTTGACTCCTGGTTTTATAAATTTTATAAATAAGAAATAATCTTCTTCGAAACGTTAATAAATTTAATACCTCATAATTACATTATGGACAGCATCAATAACCTCTATCGTAATTTCAAGGACTTAAAGGACTTGAAGTTAAAAAACTTAAACCTTCAGAAATCTTTAAAACCTATGGGTCAAGAACAAGAAGAGCTTTTTGACGACATGGCCAAAAACCTTGAGAACTTACGCTGGGATGGATGTATAATAAACGTTGAAGAACTAAAAAAGAACTCAAAACAAATATCTCAAATGATGGGACAACAGAATAAAATTACAGAGAGTACTCTTTCTATGATAGAAGAGATATCAAATTTATTAAATAGTCAAGAAAATTTAAGTTGTTATAAGAGATGGGTCTCATATTTTATTACAGAAGTAAAAGAAAAGTTGGACTCGGATACTTGGAAGAAAGTGAACGCTGCTTTCGGCTTCAAGATACGGCATAAAAATGCAGGTTTCCGTGAAAAAGATGAAATATATATTTTACAGTTGGAGAATATTTTAAAGGAGGTAAACATGGATATTACAGAATTTGAACTGTTACTGAGAATGAAAATGAGAAGTAATATCGAATTTCATAATAGTGAAAATCAAACTATAGAAGAAGCAATAGAACAATTTGAAAAGTCATTTCCTGATGATTTGAAAGATTTCAAGAATCCGTTAAAGAAAGTTTTTGAAGCTCTTGATAAATGGGATAGTGATTGTGAGGATTAGTAAACTTCGAACTAATATTTACGGCACTTTTGTGAAATTTTTTATTTATATGATAGATGATCTTTCTACAATTATATCAAACCGAAGTTTGATATATTCCAATTTCAAACTTTTCACTGAACATTTTTTTGTTATGCAAATCCTGTAAAACATTCTTTCAAGAACTTGTCACATGATTTAAATCATAAACTTTTTTAACTATTTTGTGTAAAGCTCCTCATAGGCCGAGCCGAGCTGAGCCTCATAAAGCTCAGGCCGAGCTGAGCCCAAAAGTCTTAGGCTCGGCTCAAGCCTGAGTTTATAAGTTAGGCTC